ATACTCATGATACAGGTCAGCGTCCTCAGCTGTGTCAGCGAGCCTCTGAGGACAAAGAGAACAGCATAATTTTAATTCATTTTATAAGTTAAAACCAAAGCTCCTCATAAAATAACACCAGTAACTCTAAACCATAAATAAGGACTGATCTAGACAATATAAAAAGGAGCACTTTACACTAACCTTCACAGACTTCATCTTGCTGCCAAGCATTCTTTCGATTTCATCTGCAAAGTCCTGCACTAAACGTGCTCCATCCACATCCTCTATTCTGATGATGGGCTCAACATCTTTGAGTTTCTGCGAACAGAGAGAACTGTTTTAGCATTTTGCTTTTCTGGAACAATTTCATTAGGAATATGTGTAAACAGTTTTCCTGAGTGAATATCCAAAAAAATAAAGTCATCATAACTAAAAATGACTAGGAAGCTTTACATTTTCATTGATATTTACCTTTTGTAATAGCGCAGCTCCTGAATATTTTGATGCAATTGCATTGATTTGCTCTGAAAGGGTGATGGCCCATTTTTGAACCCTAGAATAATCAAAAAAAAAAAAAAGGCAATCAGCACCAACTGTGTAACTTTTTATTGAAATTAGTGTACACAGCAAAGATTTGATCTGAATGTTTGAAATTACCCTGATAAACTTAATAATAAATTATTTTTAAAAGTTTACATTTACTTTGAATAAACCCCTGTCCCTATCCCCTAAATATTAATAGTTGTCTTAGTTTGCAGGTGGCCCATAATCACTTCATAGGATTCCAAGTAATCTATTGATCTCTGACCATTGACAGTGAATGCAGGCAAAGGAAAGCCAATCCAAACACAGACAATCATAAAAAGTATATACAGTATGTTACTGTAAATTATATAAAGACCACAAATATACTGTAAATAATGAAACATCCCTGTCATCCATGATGTATAATGCACAAAATAACAAAAGAAGCATTGTGGTTAGTCATATAAAGAGCCCTGTCAGCACTTAGTCTTATGTTGAAGAATCTCTGTTGGCCTGAAGGAGTCTGGGATCATCAGGGAGGCTGAGGAATTATGTTAAAGGTTTGGCAGTGTTGAGGACGCTGATACTATTACAGCAAGGGAAATCCTTGGGAAGTCAAGAACAAGTCAACAGATATTTTTCCCTGTGCAAGTAAAATTTAAGAATAAATATATAATGTAATACAGTGCTGTATATTATACATACATTACCGTTCAAAGATTTGTCATTCATTTGTCAAAGAAATGAAATTGATCAAAAATGAAATTGATCAAAAATTACAGTAAAAACATTTATAATGTGTTAAAAGATTTATATTTTAAATGCTATTTTAAAACAGTTATTTGCAATTGTAATAATATTTCACAATATTACTGTTTTTACTGTATTTCTAATCAAATGCAGCCTTGGTGAGTTTTTAAAATGGACTGGTGCTGCAAGAGAACAATATGTCCTTGAATTGTTGTAGTTATATAAATCTAAAAATCTAAAAATAAATATAGGGATTAAGGCCAAGATAAAACTGTTTTTAGCAATAAATCCCTAAAACACAGATGCACTCGCATAGCTATGAAATATGCTTGGTCTTACATGCTGAGCAGGGTCTAGTACCCATAATAAAAGTCAAATTATGATGCAAGAGAATGTTAGTTGCACTCTTGGAAAGGCTCAAAGTCTGTGATATTCCTGTGTGCACAGGACCTGGCCTGTATGACCATCTGTGAACTAGCTTGTGTCTCTGGCTGGTATCCAGAAGGCATTATTAATGGTATCTGCTCGAACAGCACCACTTCAAGACAGAACATTAACCTACTAGTTGACAATGTCTGGAAAAATAACCAAAGAAGTTTGAGGCACAAATCTGACATGGTTTTAGTTGGTTTGTTTTTGTAGGGCCAGTCAGAATTGTGACAACATTAAAGGAATTCTGTCAGCATTTATTCATGTTGTTCCAAACATATGACTATCATCTTCTGTGGAACATAAAAGAAGATATTTTGAGAAATGTCTTTGGAGTTTTTTGTCCATTCAATGGAAGTCAGTGGTCACCACAATGGTTTGGTTACCAACATTCTTCAAAATATCTTCTTGTGTGTTGCACAGAAGACAGAAAGTCAGTTTTGAAACAACATTAAGGTGAGTAAATGATGACAGAATTTTCATTTTTGGGTGAACTATCCCTTTAAAAAAACATTTTATCATCATTTATTTAATTATTTTGTATATATTTATGGTTACATAATAATTTTCTGTATTAGTAATTTATGAGAGAATTATCACCAAATGATCGTTCCGTTTCCACCTTCAAATATTTTCACTGCTGCTTATGTATGTCGAGAAGTGTCTGCCATCTGCTATTGCACTGAATGACTTCCAAGCCTCGTGAGAACTGAATTTTACACCTCAACAAACTCAGGGAATCAGGGAATTACTAAAAATGTTCACACAACTCTCAGAGCAATTTCTCATCCTGTCTTATTTGAAATTCTAATGTGCACGGAACTGAAGACGCCATAGAGCAAAGTAGACCCTGAAATAGTCTGTCTGGTCTTACAAGCATCTAGTAAACCATTGGCTGAATTAAACAGAACAGTAACACATATGGAAAAAACATCAACAGTAACTTTCACCCGAAAGGACATCAAACAAAGGCAGTTTTTGACTTGATGTCTAAGGTGTTGAACAGAATATCAAACCAGTGATACCTGAAAATGAAGGTGCTAAACAACTTAAATGAAGGTGACTCTTACGTTTCAGGTGGAATCTTCATTTGAGCATGTGTAAAGATACACAGCCAGCCTGTGTAGACCATAAAGAATGTGACCCAAGAAGACCCTCTTATGTGACACATGATGCTGACTTCTGTTCTCAAGGGCCACATCTGTATGGTGAAGTCATGAGAAGAAGGTCCTGAGAATCCACTACTCCAGTAGGACGAATAAAACCCAACGTCCAATCCACTCACTTCCATTCATTTTGGCCTAAATGGTTTCAAACGTCTCTTATGACCCTTCTGAGCTCCTCATCAGCTGAACTTGCACATCCAAAAGTTCTTGGAGGGCTTGGTGATCCACGTCAGTGAACTCCTAATCATGCTCAGATCTTCCAGAAACTTCTCAAACTCCCACTGAGCTGCATGGAGTAATCAATGCTTCTCATATTCAGGATGATACCGATAATCCAAGTTATCCACTTAATGTTGTCATTAGGTCCTTCTTTCTTTGTGTTAAACTCAGGTAAACATGTATCAGTATTTTAATATGCCCTCCATCACATCATCTGCAAAACATCACACCTGAAAGATGTTCTCCAAGGTTCCATGGTATTCCACATGAAATAATACAAGTTATAATATATAAATCAAGCAAATCTGTTGTCTCTAAATCTGTAAAGCAAGCACTCTGCCGCAGTTGAGATTCACTTCCAGAGCATCCAATCCTCCATCACCCAATTTACAGTGTAATCCACTTGGATTACAATCTCTCCACACAGTGGGTTCATAAGCATGGGGAGGGGAGATGGAGAGAGGAGAAAAGGGTGGGCACACTGGAGAGACGCAGCGGATTGGGCGAGTAAGAGTTTTGTTGTCACTAAAAGGATTAATAGTGATTTCGGGAGGTTGGCCCATGTCCATCCAATCAGTGTAAGTGAACAGCTGTGGTTTGTAGAAGGACAAGGCCATCTAGTGGGGACATGGCAGTCACTTGTTTTGCATGATGATATGCAGGCACCCTCATGACGATCCATCCATCCTGTGTGACTTTCTTTCTGCAGCTTTTGAAGAATAGTTCACGATCATTGTATGTTTTTAAAACTAAAAAGCTCCAGATCCTGTTCATTGTATCTGAAAGAAAATAAAAGTTCCTCAGATGTCCACCAAGTGAACTGTATATCGTTAAATACAATCTGTCATGTGACTTTTGCTCAGGTGTGACCTTTTGCTCTCTCATTTATAAAAAAAAAAAAAAAAAAAAACTTTTAAAGAAGCAAACAACTCTATAATTGACTCCAAGGTCCCCACTGTCCACAACAATATTAGAAGCCAACCCCCCTAATTTGGAAATTAGTTACATGACTTTTCCAGTTGTTTGTAATTTACTGGACAAAACTATAGAATAAATAAGAAGGTAATGTTTCCTTGAATTGTATACCATCATGTGAGAACCGCTGTATATAACTGTGTCTACCGTCAATAAATTTTGACTCTGAGAACATTGTCTCTGTGTGGAGTTCTTCCCGTGATGACAAGCAGGGCTGTCCGAATGGCAACATAAGACGAACAACAAATATTTTATTTATAATATTTCCTTTTGCATCCCATGGAAGAAAGAAAGTAATACAGGTCATACAGTCATGCATTTTTGGGTGATCCTTCCAGTTAACAAGATTTATTGTTGTCATCAGGGATCTAAAAGGGGAAAAATATGCCTTGATTTCCTGTTGATCAAGAAAAGCTCTGATGTGCATCTGGGAATAAAAGAGACAAACAAACACAATGTTACACATGATTCAGACACGTCACATAGATCATCACTATCAACTAAAAAAAGGCCAGATAAACTTACAAGCACTTCAAAGTTGAGTTCTCAGCCAATGGTATCCAAGGCTCTCCAGGAATATGCTCAAGTTCATTACAATATCACATTAATATAGAGAAATATATATTTTTTTAATTAATTCTGTATCTAGTCAAATATAACGCCTATTGCTTATGTGTCTGAAATTATATCTTGCTAGCTGTCAGATTCCTTCAGATTGTTGTACTGCTATTTGCTATTGTTGTCATTTATCTCTTAGCAGTTTATTTAGCGTACTAATTCAATTGACTTCCATTCATAAATGGTCTCTCTGTCGTAATCCCGCAGTCCACACCTCGATTTACAGCAGCAAAACAACAGTACATTAATAGTTTCAACGAAGGCTGGGGAAGGAGTTCTGCGTTGGCATTTGTTTTGACCAATCAGAGTGCAATACTGTAGAACTGGGCCGGCCAATCAAATAGCGGGATTTGGGTCTTGTCTCGACATGTTGTTCTCGTAGCCCTGCTTCTCACCGGATCCACGTGTACGCAGAGGTATGTGCTTTTGTGTAAAATTCTCAAAGTATAACAACGCTAATAAGTGTTTTTGTTGTAATGTTTTACAATGTAACATTATTTAGGGTTTGTATTGTTATTAAACGTAAAACGCGACAGATTACGTTATTGTTTCATTGTTAAATGGTTAGCTAGGCAGTGCTAACTATACTGAATGATCACGACAACAACTTAAACATAGAGCGGTAAATAATTGCCAATTTCAGACCATCTCCTTTCCTTAGATGGAGTGTGTAGTCAAATATAGAGTTAATGTTGTTGATGTATATTAACTTGGTAACTTGCAAGCTTTTTATATTGCATCTTGGGTATTATTTGTCACTATAAGGACACAGATACTGTAACTTGATGTTTGATTGACAAAAGTATCATCTTTTTTGACAGATGTAAAACTATGTGGTGACAATGTCTGCTTCACCTTGGAGATACTCCACCAGCAATGGTGTGGACCAAAATATCTTGGCAGCCACCAACGGAGAAGCAAACACCATTTCTCATCAAGCTAAAAGACGAAGGAAAAAGAATAAACTGAAAAAATTCACAATTGAATTCCACGAAGTATCATTTGAACAAAAAAGAGGAAAGAAAAGAAAGTCAGTTGAGCTTCTAGGAAACAAGACGGAGTGTGTTAGACATAGAGATGTTTTGGATTCTGTGTCTGAACAGTCAAATCATGTGCAATTCAAAAGGCCCAGAATAACCTCTCATACACTGACTGGTGAAGCTGAGTCTTTACTACCGCTCAGTGACAGCTGGGAGGTGGATAGTGGCTTTTCATCTGAATCCAGCCCTCCCACTAGTGGCAGGAGTTCGCCATGTGTGGGAATAGACCACTCTAGGCTTGTAGCTGTGGACTGTGAAATGGTCGGGACTGGACCTGGCGGCAAGTGTAGTGAAGTGGCACGCTGTAGTATAGTAAATTATTATGGTAGTGTTGTGTATGATAAATATATTTTACCTCGGCATCCAGTCACAGACTACCGCACAAGATGGAGTGGCATTAGAAAACATCATTTACAACAGGCAGTGGCTTTTGAGGATGCTCAGAACGAGGTGAGGCGGCACTATATGTAACTGCACTGTATATACAAGCTTCTGTTTGTGTGGGTTTATTTGCTCTGCTTTAATTTGATATTGTGTAGTAGTTTTGAGCAATAAGGATTTTTTTCCCCCTGCTGGCACAATAAAGCCAGTAGTACAGATGTTTAATTGCCATGCCAATATTTTTTTTTTTTTCTTTTTTTTTTACACATTTTTTTTTCTCCACAAAAATATATGTATTTATTTTATTTAAGCTGAAGTTTTATTAATATTTATTTATATAAATGAAATAATAGTAAATTTTAAAAAATTATAATTATTAATTGCCATGCCAATATTTTTTTTCTTTTCTTTTTTTTTTACACATTTTTTTTTTCTCCACAAAAATATATGTATTTATTTTATTTAAGCTGAAGTTTTATTAATATTTATTTATATAAATGAAATAATAGTAAATTTTAAAAAATTATAATTATTTTTAAGTATGGTACATTTTACTTAAAAACATTTTTTTTTTCATTTCTATTTACTTTTATCTAACACATGATAGCTGTTTATAAAATCAATTTAAATTTAAATTTGTTGCATTATTTCTTACTATTCTTTTTTCTGTAATCTATCATCTATATTATACTCGTTTGATTATTTAGATAATATATTCTATTTTTATCTCTATTATTTATATATTGTTAACTGTTATACTGTATAATGTTGTTACCTTTTGTGAACAATTTACAGTTAAGACCATAAATTACTGTTAAAACCATAAACGCTGTATACAAATTTTATTTATTTGAAAAATATTTAAGCATTTTTTATGTTATATTGTTTTTAATTATATATATATCTGTGTGTGTGTGGAAATAATTCAATTTTTGGAAATTGTTGAGCTCTGCTTATTTCATAGAATATTGCTGAAATAACACTGTGCTTTTTGTCTTTTTTTTTTAGATTGTTGACATCCTCACAGGGAAGATTATTGTTGGCCATGCCTTATTTAATGACTTCTTGGTTCTTGACATCTCCGTCCCACCACATATGATTAGAGATACCTGTTCCTGCAGGGTGCTGCGAGGGTTGTATAATGCCTCCATTAGATGCAATGTCTCTTTGAAGAAACTGTCTCGGAAACTTCTCAATAGGACCATACAGGTAAGACTGTGCAGAAGAACAGGTCGTTTCATGAGATAAAGTTGGAACATCCAGCTTAGTGTATATACGTTTTATTTTTACCTGCTCCTTGATGTTTACATACTGGATATTTCTTTTAGTCTGGTAGAATGGGTCACTGCTCTGTAGAGGATGCTCTTGCTGCCATGGACCTGTACAAGCTGGTAGAGGACCAGTGGGAAAAGGACATCCTGTCCCGGGATTCAAACACCGACCATACTTCAAACTCCAGCAACTCCCTCGAGCACTACATGCAGGACCAGTACTGGCCAGAAAGCATAATGGACTGCAGCCCGTAAGACCAAGAGTTAGGATAATGATGCCAACCTCAGTGCTGGGAACCATCTGTTGTTTAATGTTATTTAAACCTCAAACTTGTTTAAACATGTTAACATTCAAGAAGGAAATACATGGAAATGCTGTAGAACTTTAACTAGCACTTTGTTGGACTTGAAAAGTTTATTTAAATAACATTAAGGGATTCTAAATATTAAAGCTAATAACAGGTTTCTGAATTTACACAGACTGTATTTTAGGGAATAACTCCATTGTGAGTTTTCATTTGTATGATCAATGTTATTAAGGTGTAATGTGACACATTATGCTGCTAGTTAGCACTATATAGTGTCTTACTGACAATGCTGTTCATCCAAAAAGTACTGTCACGTGAAAAGTTCAAATAGAAAATTTTTAAATAAAGATAATGGGGGAAAAAATTCTCAATTAATTCATGGCATTTCTCTCAATGTATGTTCACAATAGCAACATTTCTGCAAAAAAGAAGTCATTTTCAAGCCAAGCAGGAAATTTGAGTGACCAATTTGAACACGCGCAAAATATAAGTGAAAACTTTTTTGCCCTCATGTGATGACTGGACTTAACCAAGAAAATTCACTGAACAAGAGTTAATGTGACCACACCTTAAAGGGATAGTTCACATCAAAATGAAAATTGTCGTCATTTACTCACCCTCATGTTGTTCCAAACCTGTATGAATATCTTATGTTGAACACAAAAAAAGATATTTTAAACCAAACCGTTGACGGTAGCCATTGACTTCCATAGTATGAAAAAAAAAATAGTCAGTGGCTACTGTCAACTGTTTGGTTAACAACATTCTTCAAAAATATCTTCTGTTTTGCTCAACAGAAGAAAGAATAGCTAAAACTACAACTTCACCTAAATTATCAGTAAATACATTTTGGTCCAACCCATATTACACCTCTCTTAACTCCGATGGCCTTTTTGAAACTGCTTTGACTTTTTTTCTTTCTTTCTATTCTCGTACAATAGTTGTATTGTCAAGGTGTACATTTCAAAACTTTGAATCTAGTATTTTGGTTAATTTAATAGTTTTAAAGGGGTCATATGATGCGATTTCAATTTTTCCTTTCTCTTTGGAGTGTTACAAGCTCTTGGTGCATAAAGAAGATCTGTAAAGTTGCAAAGACTAAAGTCTCAAATCCAAAGAGATATTCTTTATAAAAGTTAAGAGTCAACCACGCCTACCTAAAACGGCTCATTCTAACACTAGAACACATGTCTACGTCACGATGTGGGAAGATTTGCATAACGCCGCCCAAATGTTCACGCAAAGAAAGAAGGCATAACTTTTATTCTCGCTGTAGTATTGTTGTTGCCGCCGCCATGTCGTGGAGACGCTGTGTTTCGTTGTGAGAAAGCGAAACTACTTTGTTTGGTCTTCCAAAAGAGGACAATAT